TGAGGACTGCAGTCAGCAGCAGGCCTTGAGGCTTGGCAGGAGTCCTAGGCGTCCACAGCCTGGCCTGAGTGACCCATAAGCCGCCTGTCTCAGCCCAGGACCAGAGAGCGTTTTTGCTCTCCGAGGCCAGGCCCTACTTTGAGGGTTGTGGAGGCCCAAGTAGACCTACATTCTGAAACCCCCAGCCACTCTCTCACCCTTGTTATCCCAGAGGGCATCCAACCCTCCCTTGAGGCTGTCCTGGCCTTGTTGGGTAGAGCCAACATCTCCAGAAGGGCCGGAGCACCCCCAGAAAGACAGGGTGTGACTAAAGGAGGCTCTTAATGGTGATCACCACCCCCGCCCTAGTACACCGACTCCTGCATTCCCAGCAGTCCTGAGCACAGGGAAATAGACTGACATTTTCCAGTAGGACTGTACCAGGTGCCAGGTGCCAGGGCAAAGCAGAGATAAGATAATTACAGGGGATAGCAGAGGCTAAAAATAGCCTCCTCTGTAGCCCCGTCTCCTGGCAAGGACAACGCCAGACAGGCAGCAGTGGGATCCTGGCCCTGGGAGTGGGAGCCGGGCTGTGCCGAGGAGCCACTCTGGCATCGAGCGTGCTGGCCAGGGAGTGGCGTGGGGCTGCCCTGGGCTCTCTGTCCTCAGGAGCACTGGGGAGGTCAGGGCAGGGTGGCCTCTGGACAGAAGCCTGGGCTCCAGCTGGGAGGGTAAGGAGGAGGTTGGCACATTCTCTGCAGGCTGATGGCTTCGTGGCCCCCACAGAGCATGCCAAATGGGCAGGGAGGCAGGCAAGGGCAGTGTCAGGGACAGCAGGGAGGCTGCCAGGCTTTCCCTCACAGCCACCCTGGCCAGGGCTTTTCTCCCCTTTTCAGATCCCCACAGAGTGAGGCAATCCCCCTCCTTGGGGCCACTTTCTTTGGGGGACAGCTCCCAAGTGAGACTTGCCTCCTTGAGGGTGGCCTATGGTGTTCTCAGTGACCCCAGCAAGGCTTGGCATGCTCGGGACAGGGACAGGACCCAGTGCAGCAGACATGGAAGGGACTCGGGCCTGTCTGCTGTGCCCCAGGACCCATCAGAGGAAGAGGCCTTCTGGGGAGCTGCAGGGCACAAAGGTGAGCAGGGAAGAAGCTGGCAAGGGCCAGGAAAGTGCGGCCCTGCCTACCCACCAATTATCCATGCCCAAGAAGCTCTGCTTCAGAGATTCTGGAGGGACATAGTGCCAGGCAGAATGGGGAGGGGACAGAAGCTGTGGACAGTGGGAGGTGGGAGGGTGGGCACAGGTGCAGTCCCCGGCCTCCAGAGAAGAGGGTCTGGGCCTCTTGTGGGTGCACTGGTGAGTTGGGTGCTGTTGGGCTCTGTTAAGCAGCCAGAGAAGTGGCCAAAGGCCTGGGCCAAGACTCCTCTGTGGACATTTTAGTCTTAAAGATCTTTTTATGCTGGGAGTGGGGCTCTCTCCAGAAATAAACAAACAAAAAAGAAAAAAACAAAGGCAAATCCAGGAGAGTTCCTAAGTGTTGGGGGATGGAGTTGAGGAATGAGTGGGCAGTCAGGGAAGCAAACACAGCAGGTGGGAGGGAGGGAAGGAGGGGGGAGAGAAAGAGAGGGGGAGAGAGAGA